AGTCCAGCATAAGCTCTTAACTGCTGAGTCATCTCTCCAGCCCCTCCTTCATATTTTTTATGCAGTATTGGGAATCAAACTCAGGGCCTTGTGCAATAAATTCCTTAGAAAATTTTGAGGGAGTAGTTATTCCATGTGAGGAGAGATTAAGAGCCAGAACTATGTAGGGCTAGATCTTGACTTGATTTCAGGACTATATTGCTGCAAACTGTGTTCTGTCCACAGTGTCACAACTGAAAGAGAGTAATGGGTTAAACACATTATCTTTTACTATGACTGTGGATATATGTTTCTTTGACATACAATAAACATAGGGGAAATGGAATATTCTCTTTGAGACAAGCCTCTTTTGGTAGCCATCTTCTAGCCTTGGTCTTTCATTTCCTGAGCAGGCTATGCACAAAAATGCCTGACTAGAAATGTTATTTTTCTAATCCAGTGTTTAGTTATGAAAATTTAAAAAATTAAACATCCAGCGACACTGAAAGACTTTATTTCACATGTCTATTTTTCAAGATTCCTATTGATGTATCAATCCATCTTATCTTTTACTATGTCAAAGCAAAATACAGCTGTGCCTAGTGGCACATCTCTATAATAAACCTAGCATTTGAAAAGTGGAGGCAAGAGGGTGATGAGTTTGAGGTCAGCATGGGCTAATAAAGGTGAAACTCTATCTCAAAAAACAAACGAGAATAAATAAACAACACCCCTTCTAAGGCCCAATAAAGGTGTGAGGAATTCATTTTGCTTTCCTGGCAAATCCTGTTTCCATGTTCGTTCACACGGGTATTCTTATTTCTAGACTCATATCACTTGGAACCAGTGGAGCTAGTTAAACTCTTACCAGCTTCCAGAGACTGGGCAATTATTGAAACTGTTTGAGCTTCTTGTTCCTCAGGTAATCACTGAGGATAATTACTGTGGAAGTTGTCTTTATCTTGGAGTACGCCTAACTATACCAGTTCATTTAGGTGGCTAGGACCAAAATATCACAGACTGTGTAGCTTATAACCAACAGAAGTGTATTTCTGTCCTGGACACCGAAAAACCCAGTATTGATGCACTGGCATACTCAGTGTCTGATGTAGGCCCTCTTTTTGGTTTAGATACTATCGTTTCTACCACATGAGGATGGAAAAGGACACTCAACACATCTCATTCATAGAGTCTACCTTATGACTTAATCATATCTCAAAGCCTCTACCTCTTAATTCCATCACTTGGGGATTATGATTTCAATGTGTAACTGAACAGAATGCGTTCCTCTCTTGGTGAGTACAAATTTCGTAAGTAAAACCAGGAGATAAAGCAGTGGAGAAGAGTTTATTATTACAGCAAGTGCAAGAGCATTGAGGATAATTCTTAATGTAGTATCTCCCCAACCAAACAAAGCAAGACATCATGCCAGTAACTGAAGTGCTCGGGAGACCAAGGCAGGGAGATTGCTGGTTCAAGTTCAGCCTGGGGTACATAGCTAGACTCTGTCTCAAAAAAAGAAGATTTTAGGGGCTGGAGAGATGGCTCAGCAGTTAAGAGCACTGACTGCTCTTACAGAGGACCCGGGTTCAATTCCCAGCACCCACATGGCGGCTACGAACCGTCCTTAACTCCAGTTCCAGGGGAATCCGAAGCCCTCTTCTGATCTCCGCGGCATTGCACGATGGGTGCACTCACATGCATACAGGCAATACATTATTACACATAAAATAAAAATAAAAATAAAAAAGAAGATTTTAAAAAAGCAAGCAGCTTTTGTTGGAGAAATTCATACATTTTCATATAGGCATACAGGAAATATTTGTCATCATATGTAGGGGTGGGCTCATTCTTGAAAATGCTCAGTTTTGAAGTGATACATGGCATGTTAAAAAAAGGGTGATAAAAGTACCTCTCCTGGGAGGATTAAACATTGAATGTGCAGTTGACTCTAGACCACCTACAAGGGACAGGAAAGGTCAATTTTGGCTAGTTCCTTGTACATTTTTCTGATGGGCTTTATTAGGAAAAAAACCCACTCAGAGGCAGTTTAGTCATCAAAAGAGAAGCAGGTTTATTATTTTCTACAAGCTTGTCCCGGAAGTATATGACTAGAGGTTAACAATTTGACTTCTGATGATTGTGAATATTCATTCCATAGCAAACTACACTTTCCAAGGACTATGAGGTCACCATAGGTGAAAGGGAACTGATTTCCAAATCCTCAAATTCTTTTAGAATCATCTCCTTAAAGCAATTTTCCTGACAATTCATCTCCTGTTTTGTTCTCCTACCTCCATTTCCCAATACCTCAGAAGGAAAGCATGCTTTTCAAAGGTTGGAATGTTACTATGTTGCACATGTGAAAAAACCTTTGGGGCTGAACAGAGTGACCATATTTAAAATATTGAGGTTGAAAAAAAATGAAGCTCAGGAATCTTTTGTCTTGTTTTAGAAGGAAGAATCTTTTCTAATCTCAAGGCACTGTAACCTTTGCCTTCCCCATACTTCTCATAGAAGCTACATTTCTGATCAAATTTTGTTTAGCCATAATAATCATAAAGTATAATACTTTTGTTATTTTAGGAATTTATAGGCATAATTGCAATTATTATAACTCAATTCAGAAGATCTTTATACACAGGAGCCTTATAATCATCCCAAAGACACATAAAAAAGAATTTAATTTCTATTTATGGGCATATTTTCATTGTAGAGAAAATCAGTATAGTAATCAATAGCAGACTGGTAAGTATAAAAATAC